ATTGCCTTCGGGACGGCCGTTCTACAGTGCTCTGTTGGCATCAAGTTTGCGGTTGCCCATCTACCTCGATCCTTGTGCGTATGAACATATTTTAATGCAGTGCCATTGATAAAATAACGGTGTTTCGGCGACACTTTTCACCCCGGGCTTAAGTGTAGAACCAGACACTTGGATACATTACAGTTAAGCAGCCACGTGAACGACCAGATAACCAGTTTATCGATGTACGACAGTAACCTCTTTGCGGCGTCAGCGCAGCTAACTTCAGCCCATATTTTATATCATGCGCAAACATGACAGCTACGCAATCAAGCTCATTGAGGCAGTCGTTTACGTAGATCAAGAATAGCAGCGTACCCAAAATCAAGCGTTGTGGTACACCACTATCGACCATTGTCACTCCGAGGCTGACATTCCAACAAAGACCCTCTGTTCTCTGAGGGAAAAGAAACTGCTTATCCATTTAAGCATTTTTCCTTGAATACCCACGTTTCAAAACTTCTGTAGGAGAAGCCGATGTGGTACACAATCGAAGACCTTATTGAAGTCGAAAAATATGACGTCACTTGGTTAGCCCTTATCTACGGCCTTTGTCCACATCTCCTGAGGGTAAGGAGCACTCGTGAGACAAGAGCGTAGCATGATGCTTTGTTGCTTTTAGAGAATTTCATAAAATTCTTTTTGATAATGCGCTCCATTATTTTGCACTTTATGCGAGTTATACTTAAGGGACGGTAATTTGCGCAATCAGGTCTTGAACTAACCTTATAGATCAGGGTGACGTTTGCCAACTTCCATTCTTCCGCGATTTCGCATTCTGAAAAAGACCTCTGGGAGATGGCTGCCAGAGGTGTGCACAGTTCGTTAGCCAATTCTATTAGTGCTACTGCAGGAATTTTTTCTGGCCCAGGTGATTTGGCAGGCCTAATTTGGAGTAATTCGGACCTGACAGAGTCGTGTGAAAACTCTAGTTCCTCTATTTTGGGCAATGAGGAGGATTGTAAGGGTGGAGTTATCTGTTGATGAGCGGATGTACCGGAAGCAACAGCTGTAGGTTCTCATTTGTAGACAGATTTAAAGCAATCGGAGAGAAGGCAGACTTTCATCTGGTCTTCGGTCGCCAGTTGTCCATCTGCTGATCTTAGGGCGGAAATCAGTTTCTGAGATCTCTTCGTGCTTCGTATATAGCCATACAGAATCTTGGGGTGTTCCAACGACTTGTGTAGCATGTTCAACTTGTATTTCTTGCGAAGTTAAGTAGATTCGCTTTTACAAATTTCACGTTGTTGCTTATACTCCCATGAGTAATTATCGGAGCCGATTTGTCTGTAGGGCCTCCAGAAGCGGTTTCTTTTTTTGAAAGCCGCCTGCAAGTTAGAGTTTATCCACTTCGGTCGATTTGTTCTTGTATTTCTTCTGAAGTGACAGTTTAGACAAACAGTTCTTTTCAGCATCGAGCTAAAGGTCATCCACTGTTCATTTGCTTCACCGTTGAAGTCTGTTTACCATAATACTTTTGACATTTCTCTTCTCATAATTGGGTAGTCGCCCTTCCAAATGTTACTTTCCCATGTATCGGAGAAATAGGGTTTGGAGAGCAGCGACTTCTCGAAATACGGCATACAGTGGTCGCTTTACCCTAATGGGGCTCGATCCTGCAGGCCAATCACAGTTTCCTCGTCTCTGGTGAAGACAAGATCAAGACAGTTCGACTGCTGTCCTTCCCTAGCCCGTGTTCCAAATGTGACGATCTGGCAGTGCAGTTTGTCTGTTGCCCATGGTAGCAGTTTATGATTGAAGTTATTATGCTTTTATGCACACTTCCGTTGAAGTCTTTAAAAAGAAGTGCTCAGTCTAACACCAGTTATCCGCTGCAGGCTGCAGAGCGAAGGAATTTTATATTTTTTCGTATAATATTACTTGCTTCGTTTAAGTAACATTAAATTATGAAATTGTTCTTTCCTATAAATTAATCCCTGTTCAAGCAGCTGGCTTATGTCGACCATTAACGGATAGTTGCGATCATGGCGGCTTCTCCTCTTTTCGTGGCGTTGATGACGGACCCAAAAATTGACGAAGGCGTATCGTGGTCGCAGCTCCGATTTGTCGGAATATTCTCGTGACTCTGCAGTCTCGTCCTCGTCCCGAATCACACTTCCGATCAAGATATAAGTCGTGGTGGACCCCCTAAACTGCTGCCAAAATTAATAGCTGCATCCTGGCATATTTTTCAAACACTTTCTCCCACGAGCGACAGTTTTTCTCTTAAAAAAACCATAAACTACATTCCTTCTTGTGAATTCTGTGCCATGCCTTAGGAGTTTTTTCACTGTCTGATCTTTTTGTTCAGTTACACCTGCTGGTTCGTGCTAAGTGACATCATCCCATCTGATTATATTACTTCGAAAAACTGAGTAGCCACTCACAATTACGTAAACGTTCTTCTTTGAAATGTTCGGCATTATCGATGCATTTATTAGCTTCTGTGTACCGATAGGCGTTTGCCTATATTTCCCTTAATAAATTGACTTGACTTGAAACTACATTGCCATAATAATGCTCACTCTAACACCAGTTGACCGCTGTAGTCATACTTCAGACGAATAAACATTACATTTCTCATAGAAATAACAAAATCAAAAGATGAACAACGCCAACCAAGGCCGTTGAAGGTTGTCCTGAAAAGGGAAGTTGAGGTCCCGCTATTGTTAAGCAGGAAACCAATACTCAGAAGCTCCCACCCAACGGTTTTTTTTTCAGCGGGATTTTCCTCCCGAAGAGCGGGAGAAATGGAGATTGCTCAAAGTAGAACTCCACAGGAGATGCGAA